GCTGACTCATTTTAAAGAGTATTAAAGTATTCCTATCTTCCCTTCACTGCAGAGCAGCACCGCATGCAGTGCTGAAACTCTCAGAAAGCCCTTTCCATGGTCTCAGTTCAAACTCACATTCCTTTTCACCTATTACTCACAAGCACCCAACAGTGTTTTCCAGAGGCTGTTGCTGCATAAAAGGTTTTCCTCCATAATATAGCTTCAGTTTAAATTTCTATACATAGAGAAATGGTTTGCTGTGTCCTTAACGTTTATGAGTCTAAAGGTGTCAAAACGGAAAGTGAGCACAACTGTCAGAGTGGATGTGCACAGGAACACATTTGACAAAGTTTATTGCAGTTTATCAGCAAAAATGAATTCTCTGAAGAATGAATTTGAGCATGTTTAACAAAATGCACAATAAGCAATGTATGTACAAACATAGACTCCATCTTTATTGTTCATAGGCCTCAGATTCCATCATCATTTGAATCTCTCTGCTGGAAGTAATAGCTTGGGTGAAGACAAAGGGACTTTTTAAAATTAAAAATAACTCGTGTTTTCATTTACAAATTGTTTCCTTTCTTTTCTTTCCTTTTTTTTTTTTTGTTTTTTGTTTTTTGGTTTTTTTGAGACAGGGTTTCTCTGTGTAGCTTTGCACCTTTCCTGGATTCTCGCTCTGTAGCCCAGGCTGGCCTTGAACTCACAAAGATCTGCCTGCCTCTGCCTCCCAGTGCTGGGATTAAAGGCGTGTGCCACCACCGCCCGGTTAAAAATTGTTTTCTAAATTATTTTCATATTTTAAAGATCTTAAAACTATAGATAAATGGGAAGGTCAGAGTATGTTCTTTTAAACCCTAAGAATATAATTAAAGGACAAAAAAATCTGCAACTTACCACTTCCCTAGTGTTGAGATCAAAGGTGTGCGCCACCATCGCCTGGCTAAAATTTCTGTAACCTTTATTCATTCCACAAACCTCAGCGCAGTTTTAAAATTGTCACCCCGAGGAAAACCAGGTAGCAGAGCACCAAGTACTGGCCATAGGGGGCCTGCCTCATTCCATCTTTTCCAAGACTTATCAGTGCGTCCTTGAGAGACTAAAGCACGCAAACCCCAAGTTAATGAGTGTCTGAGTAACTTCTTTCCTTCTTTACCATCTATGTCGAGACAGACTTCCCTGACACCATTCTCAATCTGTCCTTTTCCTTTTATTGCCCATCTTCCTTCCCTTGCTGCCTTAAACTCACCCTTTCATAGCCCTTCCCTGAATATGCTCAATTCTCCTTTAAAGTTTACTTCATGTATACTGACACTCTGTCTGTCAGGCACATTCCCTGGAACTGTGCTCTAGTAGGTTCTGAGAACCCAACTAGGGTCCTCCGGAAGAGCAGCCAGCACTCCTAACGAGAGTAATCAATCTCTCCAGCCCTGAAGGCCCTCCTTTTATCTAATAGAGACTAGGGTCTATGACATACTACCCCAAGTGCCCCATCTCATCTGACAGAGCCCACCTCTTACCAAGACTAAAATCTTATGGTGTAGCATGCATAAACACATATCCCACCATTCAGCAGTTCTAGTACACTGTTAGCCTCTCTCCTTTCCCATCACCCACAAAGCAGCCGTTCCGTCTAGTTGCTCAAAACCAAACCAAAGATTACATTTGATCTCTTATTTCCTTATCCATTCAACCCTAAACTTCAAATTCTATTACCCTAAAAGGTTCAGTAACCATAAGTTTTTAATCTGTTGGCCAATACCTTGGTATTCTACAAAGCATATCAATTAAGCAGCGAGATCTACATTCAAACCCTGGCTCTGCCATTAGTTTAGAAATGTGCCCTTGGGTGAACTATTCTTTGAAAAATCAGCCGCTCTGAGGCCAGCCTGGTCTACAAAGCAAGTTCCAGGACAGTCAGGGCTATTACACAGAGAAATTCGGAAAGGAGGGAGGGAGGGAAGGAAGGAAAGGAAAAAAGAGAAAAAAATCAGTCTCTCTCTATGTAACTGGAAGTCTGTAGGAATATGTATCTGTTAAACTAGACATATATAAAAAGTGCTTGACGCCGGGCGGTGGTGGCGCACGCCTTTAATCCCAGCACTCGGGAGGTAGAGCCAGGCAGATCTCTGTGAGTTCGAAGCCAGCCTGGTCTCCAAAGCGAGTTCCAGGAAAGGCACAAAGCTACACAGAGAAACCCTGTCTCAACCCCCCCCCCCAAAAAAAAAGTGCCTGACAAACCAAATATGCTATAGTAGGTATTTTCTTTCTCTCCCCTGCACCCTGGAATTTTCACCAGCACCCATATGAGAGTGACTCTGTCCCTGCTTTGGCTACTTTTAAATACTACATGCCCAATTGCTTGCCAAAAATATCCACATGACTATTCCACACAACAGCAACTTCACCTATTTCAAAACCAAATACATTTTCTACTCCACTAAACATACTTTTGAAGACTGACTTGTATTGATGGCACCATCACTATCTTGGCATACAGAATACAATGTCAAAAGGTGTTTATAGAACTACCAGACACCACGGTCCATGAATTCCTTTGCCCACATCCTTCCATGCCTCTCCCGAACTCTACCTGCCTCTCACAGACCACTACAAGCTAAACACAATCTTGCTATTGTACTACTTAAAGCCTTCAACGTTTCCCCACAGTCTAAAAATGAAATTCAAATACATTACACATGAAACACCACCCTCCAAACTACCATCCTCACTTCCCAACAGCTCCCAGAGTCAAACCACTATTCACTTCTCAGTCCTGCTGCCTCTCAAACTACTGTCTCTTACCTTCTCTGAAATCCCAAAGCGACACCTCATGGGCACCCAGAACACACAGAGCTCAAAGGAAAAAGTTTTTTTTTTCATTGGTTAAAGTTCTAACAGATAGACCCCTAAGTGACAAAGATTTTCCCCAGTATTAAGGACACAGCTGAACAACTGAACAGTCAAGTATTTTTATAACAACACTAGATTTGGGCACTCCAATGTTCCAAGGACCTAACGGCAATGTTTTCTGAAGAGGGAGAAATAAGAGAATAAGCACTACAATCAAGCAGGCACAAGAACATTGGCTTTAATTTGCAATTTAGCAGAAAGAGTTGGCAATGGAAACATACGCCTAACAAATTTACTTCAAGTTCATAAAGACAAGGAATAAAAGGAAAATGAACATGAGAAAAATGCTCACTGTGCCATTTAAAAGTCAGAATACCATTTCCCCTTCTCAAAGAGTCAAGCATCCCTAAGTTTGGTATTTCAAAGCAATGACTGATAGCAGTTTCACACTATATTTCCTTATCCATTCTAAGCTTCAAATTCTATTACCCTTACAAGGTTCGTTGGCCTTACAAAGCCTAACTAAGTGGAGAGGTTAATATTGGATACGTTAACAAAGTACTTGATATCACCTTCCACAATAACTTAAATCAGATTAAATATTCCTGGCCTTCAAAAGTACACTAAAGATCCTCCTTGTTCACTAAGAACACCCAAGTTAATTTCCATCTTGAGAGGTGTGCCTGAAATCTTAACGACTGCGACATTTGTGTAAGCTCCATCTATTCAAGAACAGTTTGCCAGGCACCTGCTACGATGGGGGAGGGGCTAGGGAAAAGACCGAAACCCTGCCCTCCAAGAGTCAAACATCTCAGGCAACTCTACAAAATCAACGTTGAACTCTGGAAGGAATATCTGGAGCGTTATTACCAATTTTCTGGAAGCCCAAATTCCGGAAATACTGTTTTCCTATTTTGAAAATCACCCCTAGTGAACTTTTTCACTTCACTTTCTACTACCAGGTACAACTGTGCAGTCTGTGAAGACATGTACTTGTCAGCTGAAGTACTGCGGGAAGGGGAAGGGTGATCTGTACAGCAATAAATATTCTCAACTGCAGGGTTAACTGGAGGGTCCCCTATTATGGCACTACAAATAGAAAGGGTAGTAACACCCTAATCCTACTGCAAGTTGAGCCACAGAAATCTTATCGTGAGATGGAGCAAGTTCTGACACCACATCAACACATGTCAAACTATGACATCAGATTTCTTCAGTGCTGGTTTATCTTTAATATTTAAAACGGGAAACATAATCCAACTCAATCCACAATAACTTCCAGTCTGTAACTGCGTTTTAAAGCATCAATGGTCGTCTCCTCCTCCCAAATCCATTCAGATAAATAAGATGGTATGGACTTTATGCTCCAAAAGCAGCACCTGGAACGATCAGAGATACAACTAGAGAGCTTTAAGGCGGCAGGTAGCTTTGTTCCCGGTTTGGGGAGGTTTTCACATGTAAATGTTCCCGAAGAAGGGAGCTGAGGATTAACTAAGCACTCGGGGAGGAGGGTGTGAGAGTGAGCAAGTGGAGACTCACGCAGCCTTTCTCGCGGACTAAGGCGGGGCAAATACTCTGCTCTCCCATTCAACTTTTTAGGTGTCACGTTGTTAAGAAAGGGTACGTTCCACACTCGAAAGGCTAAGGAACTACCTCTCTGTGTTTATGCGTGAACCTGTCAATCCAGGAGGCAGGAGGAGGGTAGACACCCTCTCTATCTAACTCTCCGCCAACCGGGATCAGAGTCCAGCGGCCGACGCGCCGCCGGCTTGAGCAACAGGAGAGCCCAGGCGGCGGCCGCGCCGGCCCCCCGACCCGCGGGAACTCCCGCCCCTAAGTCCGCCCGCCGGCCCGCCCGCGCTCCGCTGCAACCCCTGGCGGGATCTCGGCCCCGCCAAGCCGATAAACGGCCCGGGAGCACAAGGGCCACGTTGGAGGAGCCGGAGCCGGCGCAGGCCGGAAGGGGGCGAAGGGGGCATGGCGGGGGAGGGGCGAGGGGGTCAGCCCCCGACGGTGGCCGCGACCTCTCCTCGGCTTCAGGCCCGCCGCCCCGGAACCCGGGACAGGAAGCGTCCCCGCCCCGACTCGGTGCCCGAAAAGCCCTCGGGCAGCGGGAGAAGCGGCCCGGCTGGCCCGCGGCAAGCCCTGTCCCGAGCACCCCTCACCTCTTGGTTGAAGGCGTTGACGGCGTCCATGTTCGCGTTGCGGCGGCGGCGGCGGCGGCGGCTGCTCCGGGCCCGCCGGTCACATAGACCTCGCGCCGCGGCGGAGCAGGGCCGGGAACCGGCAGGGCCTGGGGCGTGGGGGGTGGGGGGGAAAGGAAGACGGGAGGCGACGAGCGGCGGCGGCCGAGGCCGAGCAGGAAGGGGCTGCGGCCGAGGCGGCGAGGCTGGGCCGGTCGAGCGCAGTCAGAGGCGGCGGGCCCCTGCTCAGTCCCGTGCGCTGGCGGAGGGACGGGAGGCGGCGGCGGCGGCGGCAGCGCGGGGCTCCAACATGTCCGTTTGGCGGTGGCGGCTGCGCTCTGCGTCGCGCTGACACGGCCCCCCGCGCCCTCACGCACTGGCCCACACTGGCCCGGCCGGCTAGCGGGCGGGCCTCTCTGTCTCTCTCCTCTCTCTCGCCAGCAGGGATGGCGGCAGCGACCGGAGTGCACGCCGCGCGGGGCACCCTGGGACGGCTCGGGCCTCCGAGCTCTTCCTGCGCACGGCCCCGCCCCGCGCGCGCTTGGCCCCGCCCCCGCCCCGCCCCGCCCACACCGCGCGCCGGGCCACCAGCGTGTGACGGCGCTACGCCGCCGGGCGCTTTCCCGCCGGTGGTGGTGGCGGCGGCGGGAGAGCGCCGGTCTCTAGGGCGCACGGTCCAGACGCGGGCTCCTGGGGTGCAATGTGGTGCCATCGTGCCCCAGGCAGGACTTCGCCCCATTGCTACGGCAAACAAAGCGCGGAGGGCGAGCGCGTGCAGGCTCCTAAGCTCCCTGCTGCGACCTCACCCCCCCCCCCCCCCGCGGAACTGTGCCCGCCCAACTGCATGGGTTACGCCTGTGCGCCCTGAGCAAGGACACCCATGCGGACCTGGAGGAAGCCCTGAGCAGCCTCCGAGGCCTGAGCTCCCGAACCCTGACGCTAATTTTCCAAAAGCCGGTTGTTTCGTTCTCGGTAGAAGCGCTGCTCTGATCCACTTTCCTAGAGTTCTCACTACCTGCCGCACGCTGCTACCGTTATTGGTAGCGTGTGTGAAAAATGAAAGTTTTTCTGCTGCAGAGACCTCACTTTAGTGGAGAGGGTAAGCACTTGAGCGCCTGATTATAACAGTAAGAGGACCTGAGTCGTCGGACTGGAAGTTCGGGAAGACTTCCCGGAGAAAATGACGATCAAGCTAAAAGAATTAAAGAGAAAGAAGGGACCCTCTGGGCCATGCGCATTGTGCTGTTAACTTCTCCCTGGAGCAAAACCTACTGGAACTTAGGGAAAGCAGCCGGCGCTACTCAGACCCGGTCCTAACAGAGTTGGGATTTTGTTCCCAACCAGTCTTTTAAGAGGAGGTTGGCAGCGTGCAAAATATGCGCTCAGAAAGGTGTGAAAGAAAGTCGGGTCAGGGGCAGCATGGCTTCAGGCCCAGGGCATGATGAGGCTGAAGGTCCCAGGCAGTGGGGGAAGGACATACTTAGGAAGTGGGGGCAGGGCCAGAATGGCGTTCAGGAGGGATGGTATCAAGGAGGATGCACAGTGCTTCTTGAAGGGCATGCATGGGTGGTGGGTTTGGGTCAGCTTGGTAGTTACAGAAGGGAATGAGTTTGAAGGAGTAATGATTAACTTTCCATGTGCCAGGGTCTACAAGACATGCGAGGCTGTTATTTAATCACCGTGCCAAGGTTCTGTGCCAGTGCCTATCAGCAGCACACTCATCTTACAATTGAGAGAGCGAGGCCTAGTTCGGTTACCGACCATACCGACCATGCCCAAGGTCACACAGCTGGACGATTTTTCTTTTGGGGGCTCGTGCCATTTGAGTTGTCCCTGAGATAGTGAGTGAGGGTTTCTCGGATATAGTTGAGAATCAAGAAAAGTAGCTGGGAGGAGGTTGAGGTCTGGGAGTGAATACTGCACAGCTGGAAGCAGCTGTACTGCACAGCTGCAAGCAGCTGACAGGGCCCACAGACAAGAAGCAGAGGTGTTTAAGAACAAGAGGTTGGGAGGAAAAAAAAAATCTCTGGAGAGTCATCAGCGCTGTCCAGGGAGGAAGGTTCTAGTCTGGCAGGGTAAGAGTTGGACAATACCTCAGGAGGATAGTTGTGTTTAACAAAAGAACCATTAAAGAGGATTCTGAATATATCCCCCACACAAAGAAGTAAGATGTGCACATGCCTTTAATCCAAGCATTCTGGAGGCAGGGGCAGGTGGATTTCTATGAGTTCAAGGCCAGCATATTCTACACAGAGAAACCCTGTCTTGAAAAACCAAAGTAAAGCCTGGTGGTGGAGACACACACCTTTAATTCCAGCACTTGGGAGACAGGCAGATTTCTGTGAGTTCAAGGCCAGCCTGGTCTATAGCTAGTTCCAGGACAGCCAAGGCTACACAAAGAAAAGAAACCTTGTCTCCCCCAACACCCCCCCAAAAAAGAAAAACCAAAATAATAATAATAATAATAAGTCTGCTTTAATGGCTGTGCCATTTACCCTGAGCTAACCATTACTCTGTGTATACGTGCACCTTCTGTTCCACACTGTACCCAGTAAATATGTCTAATTATTACATATCAATTAAAAATTAAATCACTGGAAAATGCTGAGGATGTTGGTTTAAAATATTCACAAATTGCCAAGCGGCAGTGGCGTACACCTTTAATCCCTTCACTCAGGAGGCAGAGCCAGGCAGATCTCTATGAGTTTGAGGCCAGCGTGGTCTACAGAGCAAGTTCCAAAGCAGTTAAGGATACACAGAGAACCCCTGTCTCGAAAAACCAAACCAGAGCAAACAAAAAATAAATAAATAAAAAATGTTGTTTCTTGTCAAAGATTTGGTCACAGCAGCAAGAAATGAACTAAAACCACATAAGCTGGTTGCAGGTGGGAGGTGGAGGCAGGAGGCTCAGACAACTACATATCAAGGTGAAGCCAGCCTGGAATGCAGGAGATCGAGATCGTGTCCGGAAAAGACTGGCAGATGACACTGCTTTAATGCCCTCTTGATTTACTCCCCAGGAGGAGCGACCTGACTCTGGCAACTGCCCTCTATTTGCCGTGGCATAAGTGTGCCTGTACACACACACACACACACACACACACACACACACACACACACAGATTAATAATAAAAAAAATTTTAAAGAACAAGAAAGGATTCATACAGGATCTATTTTGCTTTTGCTTTAGCAAACAAGTGAGCACACATCTCTCACTTTTGTACAAACTTTCCCCTTATCCTAGCTTCCCCTGGTGTGGTAACATTTTGAATAAAATTTGCCTCAAGATCAGAGGAAACATGGGAATGGGGGTGTACTGGGGGGAAGGTGGGGAGGGGGCTGGGAGGGGGGAGAACAAGGGAATCTATGGCTGATATGTAAAATTAAATTAAATTATAAAAAATAAAAGAAAATACTAAAAAAGAAAAAAAAGATCAGAGGAAAGAACAAGCCACTAGATTAAACAGAGGCCAGGCAGTGGTGGCACACACCTTTAATCCCAGCACTTGGGATCTCACACCTTTAATCCCAGCATTTGGGATCTCACACCTTTAATCCCAGCATTTGGGATCTCACACCTTCAATCCCAGCACTTGGGATCTCACACCTTCAATCCCAGCACTTGGGATCTCACACCTTTAATCCCAGCATTTGGGATCTCACACCTTCAATCCCAGCACTTGGGATCTCACACCTTCAATCCCCGCACTTGGGATCACACACCTTTAATCCTAGCACTTGAGATCACATATCTTTAATCCCAGCACTAGGAAGGTTGAAACAGGAAGTGATATGGTTGAGCAGAGAAAGCAATATAAGGCAGGAGGAGACAGGAACTCACGCTCTTTCAGGCTGAGGAGTTGGTGAGGTAAGAGGTGGTGGCTGTGACTTGTTCTGTTTCTCTGATGTTTAAGCTTTCACTTGGTATCTGGGCCCGGTTTTTGTTATAAGACCATTTAGGATTTGAGCAACACCCTGATATCTGCACACCTTGTCTGTAAAATGTATCTTTACCTGCCTTCCCCTTCTGTAATATGTATTCCTTGGGCTTTTGCCTTCAACACTCCAGCCAAAGTGTAATATCCACAAATATATATATATATCCACAAATATATATATTTTTTTTCCGGTTTTTTGAGACAGGGTTTCTCCGTGTAGTTTTGGTGCCTGTCCTGGATCTTGCTCTGTAGACCAGGCTGGCCTCGAACTCACAGATACGACCTGCCTCTGCCTTCCAAGTGCTGGGATTAAAGGCATGTACCACCATTGCCTGGCTGAAAAGAAGCATTTAAATGAGGAATGATTTGTTTTGGCCTGAGGCTTAAAGGGTGGTGGTCGTCGATCGCCACAACACATGACTCCATGATGGCAAGAGTGTGCAGCTGAAGCCGGGCAGTGGTGGTGCACACCTTTAATCCTAGCACTCGGGAGGCAGAGCCAGGCGGATCTCTGTGAGTTCGAGGCCAGCCTGGGCTACCAAGTGAGTTCCAGGAAAGGCGCAAAGCTACACAGAGAAACCCTGTCTCGAAAAACCAAAAAAAAAAAAAAAAAAAAAAAAAAAAAAAAAAAAAAAAAAAAAAAAAAGAGTGTGCAGCTGAACACCTCCATTGTAGCATGAGTCTTAAAAGTTCTTATGAAGCCGGGCGGTGGTGGCGCACGCCTTTAATCCCAGCACTCGGGAGGCAGAGCCAGGCGGATCTCTGTGAGTTCGAGGCCAGCCTGGACTACCAAGTGAGTTCCAGGAAAGGCGCAAAGCTACACAGAGAAACCCTGTCTCGAAGAAAAAAAAAAAAAAAAAGTTCTTATTAATAAAATTAAACCTGAGGCAAGTTATTGGGGTGAAATGCTGGATGGTCAGAGAGACAGAACAAGCCACAGCTATCTCACCTCGCCAGATTCTCAGCTGATCTTGTTTCCTTAGACTGGAAGCTTCTGTGTCCTCATCCCAATGGCTCTCAGCTGAACTGTGCTCGAAACCTAAAAGCTTAACCAGCCAAATGCTGCTAGTTTCTGGTCTCCACGCCTTATACATCTCTCTGTTTTTGCCATCACTCCCTGGGATTAAAGGCTGGCTTTCTGGGATTAAAGGCATGAGTCACCATGCTTGGCTGTATCCTTGAACACATGGATTTCTGCCTCTGGAATGCTAGGATTAAAGGCGAGTGCTATCACTGCCTATCTTAAGTACCTAGTGGCTTTTCTGTTCTCTGACCCCAGATAAGTTTATTAAGGTACACAATATTTTGTGGAATACAATACCACCACACTCCATTCCTTACATATCGATGGAGCAGGATGAAGAGCATGGGTAGGAAGTAGGGCGGGGCTCACCCAGTAATCCACTTCCTCCAGGAAGGCTCCAGCTCTTAAATTCAACAGCCTTCCCGAAACAGTGCCGCCAGCTGAGGACCCATGGGAGACATTTATTCTGTATGATCTGGAGAAGGATGTACAGTAGCCATATGGACTTATGATTTTT